TCTCACTATTATAGATAAACTAGAGGCCTGGTGCACAAAAATTTGTGCACTGGGGGGGGGGGGGGGTCCCTCAGCCCTGGCTGTGCCCTCTCTCAGTCTGGGAACCCTCGGGGGATGACCACCTGCTGGCTTAGGCCCACTCCCTGGGGGATTGGGCCTAAGCTGGCAGTCAGACATCCCTCTGGCAGTCGGGAGCCCTCAGGAGATGTCCACTTGCCAGCAGGGAGCAGGCCTAAGCTGCAGTCTGACATCTTTAGTGCTGCTGAGGAGGCGGCTGTACTGGCAGCTGTCAGCCTGGCTTGTGGCTGAGCAAAGCTCCCCCTGTGGGAGTGCACTGACCACCAGGGGGCAGCTCCTGCATTGAGCATCTGCCCCGTGGTGGTCAGTGTGTGTCATAGTGACCAGTCATTCCCAGTCGTTATGCTGTTAAGGTCAATTTGCATATTACCCTTTTATTATATAGGAGTGCCTGGCCAGCCTGGGTGAGAGGCTGATGGCTGTTTGCAGGCTGGCCATAGCCCCTTCAGGGTGGGGGTCCCCCCTGGGGTGCCTGGCCAGCCTGAGTGAGGGGCTGATGGCTGTTTGCAGGCTGGCCACAGCCCCTTCAGTGTGGGGGTCCCCAATGGGGTGCCTGCCCATCCTGGGTGAGGGGCTGAGGGCCATTTGCAGGCTGGCCACAGCCCCTTCAGGGTGGGGGGTCCTGCTGGGGGGTGTGGCCAGCCTGGGTGAGGGGCTGATGGCGTTTGTAGGCTGGCCAAGACCCCCAGCGGGGACCCTCACCCCATGAGGGTTTGGCCAGCCTGGGTGAGGGGCTGAGGGCTATTTTCAGGCTGGCTAAGCCCCCCAGTCGGGACCCTCATGCCATGAGGGTGTGGCCAGCCTGGGTGAGGGGCTGATGGCTGTTTGCAGGCTGGCCACAACTCCCAGCCACCCAAGCTCCCAGTGGAGGCTGGCTGGAAGCAGGTATCTGGGATTTATTTGTCTTCTATAATTGAAATTTTGTTGCCTTGAGCGGAGGCCACAGCTGGCTCAAGGCAGGTAGGAAGCTTGGCTTCCTCCATTGCCAGGGCAACCAAGCCTCCTGCTTGCTCCAGCTCTGTGGCTGCCGGCCGCCATCTTGGTTGGGTTAATTTGTATAGTCGCTCTGACTGGCTGGTGGGCGTGGCTTAGGGCGTAGCGAAGGTACGGTCAGTTAGCATCTTTGTCTTTTATTAGTGTAGATTATCATCTTTCACTATTTTAAATAGCACTATAATGAACATTATTGTAGCTGAATCTTTGTACATATCTTTATTTCCTTGCATTAAATTCTTTTAAATTGTTGGCTCAAAAATTTTACACATTAAAAAAATTTTTTTAAGAAATCCTTTTTTTTTTTTTAATTGATGCAAGAGAGAACGAGAGAGAGAAACATGGATCAGTTTCCTCTCATATCCATCTCAGTGATCAAACCCACAACCTGGGTATGTGCCCTGACCAGGAATCAAACAGGACACCTGGTGTAAGAGACAAGGCTCCAACCAAGAGCCACATAGGCTAGCCACATTTTTAAGACGTGCTTTTGATACCGTTCTTCCCAAGGCCTACCACAAAGCTTATATCAATCTATCCCCCTACTAACAATGCATAAGCATGTCTGTCCATCCCAACCCTTGGGATTAGTTGTGTTTTTAACCTTTGCTAAAATTAATAGGCAAAAATGTCATCTTACTGTTTTAATTCATCTCTGAATATTAGTGAGTTTCTACATTTTTTGTGTATTTATTCGCCATTTATATTTCTTGTGTGTGTGTGTGTGTTATATCTTCAGGTCCTCTTCTATTTTCATATTTTAAGGTATATTGTAATGTCATATATATATATATATATATATATATAGAGAGAGAGAGAGAGAGAGAGAGAGAGAGAGAGGATATGAACCATTTAACTGCCATCTGTGTTGCAATTACTTTTTGTTGTCTTTAATTTTAATTAATGAGGTTGGTGTTTTTTTTTTAATTCAGACTTTTTTGTTAAGCAGTCAATGCTATATTTTCTCTTATATTGTCTGACTTTAGCCTTTCCCACCTTAAGATTATCTAAACACTAGAGGCCCAGTGCACAAAATTCATGCACAGGGGGGAGGGGGGTTTCCCTCAGCCCAGCCCACACCCTCTCCAATCTGGAACCCCTCGATGGATGTCCGACTGTGACGGGCAGTAGGACATCCCTCTCACAATCCAGGACTGCTGGCTCCCAACTGCTTGCCTGCCTGCCTGATTGCCCCAACTGCTTCTGCCTGCCAGCCTGATCACCCCTTAACCACTCCCCTGCCAGCCTGATCGATGCCTAACTGTCCTCCCCTGCTGGCCTGGTCGCCCCTAACTGCCCTCCCCTGCAGGCCTGGTCGCCCCCAACTGCCCTCTCCTGCAGGCCTGGTCGCCCCCAACTGCCCTCCCTGCAGGCCTGGTCACCCACAACTGCCCTCCCCTGCAGGCCTGGTCCCCTCCAACTGCCTTCCCCTGCAGGCCTGATCGCCCACAACTGCCCTCCCCTGCCAGCCATCTTGTGTCCACATGGGGGTGGCCATCTTGTGTGTTGGAGTGACGGTCAATTTGCATATTACCTCTTTATTAGATAGGATTCCCTATATTTTTTATAGATCCTCATAGTTTTTAATCTTTACATAAATTTTTAATACATAGACTTTCATCATGTTTTATTATGTATAAGGATATAACTGTTTTCTTATTTTATTTTGACATTATTTATAGCTTTTCTCCACTTATTCATAATTCAATTTTTTTATTCTAAAGGCTTTTAGAATAAAAAACTACACTTGAACTATTTCTAGATTTTTTTTGTCCAAGAGAGTAGCAAATTGCTTTTACTATTATTTCTGTGTAAAATTTTCTTAATACCTGGAGGACATATCTTTTCTCATTATTACTCTTCTTTTTTAGGAAAATTTCTGCTTCTAAATGAACTTTAGAGTAATTTTGGAAAAGTTCCTTTAAAGTAATTTCAGTGGAATTTAAATTTTACTGACTTTTAAAAGCTGTTTTCATTAAAGGAAATGTATTAATTTTACAAAGTTAGGAAGGAATAAAATTTTTAAAAGGACGGAAGTATCTATAATAATTTTTATTAACAATTTTTAACAGGGGAAAAGAGAACAACTTCCTTGTAGAAAAAACTTTATCCTCAAAACCCTTCCAGTCATAAACCACAATCACAAGCTTGGTGCTTCCACGTGTATCGAAGAATTTCGATCCCAGTTCATTTTTGTAAGTAAAATTACTTACTGAGCTAATGTTGATATTTTTAAGATGAATTTTTCCTTTCCATTAAACCTTTCAAAATCTTATTTTAAAAACCTAGGGGTTTAGATGTTTGAGATTTTTCTTTTTAATCTGTAATATCCAAAAATAAACTGCTTCCCAGAGCCATCATAATACAATAACAAATTAGAGGTAGTTAAGCCTTTGTTTACATATTTAGTTAAAAGAATGCTTTCACAAGGATATTTCAACCAAGAAAATGCAGTTCCTCTCTTTAGATACTATATTTTTATATGAAAACATGTAATTTAAAAAATAGTTATGTCTTTAGGTTTTAAAGTATAATCATGCACATACAGAGTAGTCAAGCTTGCACTTATTTATACATTCCATTGTCTGATCATGTTAGAACCAGGCCTGAAATTCAGATCTGTTTTACTATCTTGATTACTATAGCTTTTTAATAATTCTTTAAATCAAAGTTGGTAGTCTTCCAACTTTGTTCTTTTTCAAAGTTGTTTTGAATATTCTGGGTCCTTTGCATTTTTATATGAATTTTAGATTCACTTTGTAAAACATCCACAAAAAAAGCCAGCTAGAATTTTGACTGGGATTATGTCGAATCTATAGATTCATTTGGAAAGAATTGCCATCTTTTTTTTTTCTTTTTAAGAATTGCAATCTTAATAAGTCTCTTACGTCTTTTAACCCCAACTCATTATATGTCTTCATATATCGAGGCCTTTAACTTCTCTCAGTGATGTTTTATAGTTTTCAGTGGACAGGTCTTTCACTTCATTTGTGTAAATGATACTGTTTTAAATAGAATTGATTTTTTTATATTGATCTTCTATCTGGAAAACTTGCTAAACTTACATATTAATTACCAAAGCTTTTTGTAGAAGCTATCAGATTTTCTACATCATGTCGCCTGTCATTAAAAATAGTTTTGATTCTTTTCAATATGAATAACTGATTTCTTTCTCTTGCCCTGCCTTGGACATTCAGAGCTATACCAAATAGAATTACTAAGAACTAATCTTCATCCTTGCTCCTGATTTTTTTAAAATTTATTTATTGATTTGAGAGAGAAAGAGAAAGAGGAAGGGAGAGAAAGAGAGGCAAAAACATCATTTTGTTGTTCCACTTATTTATGCATTCATTGGTTGAATCTTGTATGCACCTGACTGGGGATTGAACCCACAATCTTGGCGTATAGGGATGATGCTCTAACCAACTGAGCTACCTAGTCAGGGCTCCATACCTTGCTCCTGAGTTCAGAAGAAAACATTCTGTCTTTCACCATTGAAGACATTAATATGATATTAAATATAATGTTAACTACAGCTTTTTGTAAATGCCCTTTATCAGACTGAGGAAGTGTTTTTTTATTCCTAGTTTGCTGAGAATTTTTATCAGAAAAGAATGCTAATTTTGTCAAATGATTTTTTTGTATCTATTGAGAGATCATATTTTTCTTTTTTTTTACTTTGTTAATATGATTAGTTACATCAGTTGATTTTTGAATGTTAAGCCATCCTTCCATTCCTGGAATAAACCCTACTTCTTAATGATGCATTATTTCTTTCATAAATTATTGTGTTCGATGTTAAGATTTTGTTTAGAATACTTTCTTGTATGTTCAAGAATGATATTGGCCTGTTATATTCTTTTGTTTCAATCTTTTTGTCATTATCAGAATAATGCTGAACTCAATGAGTTAAAAAATATTGCCTCTTTTTTATTTTCTGGAAGAATTTGTATAGAATTGGAATTATTTTTCCCATAAATATTTGGTAGAATTCTCCAGCAAAGCTGTCTAAGTCTGAAGTTTTCTTTGTGGAAGAGACTTTTGCTAGCTTGTATTTTCCAAGGGGTTTGTTCATTTCATCTCAGTTGTCATTGCCTATTAGCTTAAAATTGTTCATAATACTTCCTTATTATCCTTTTAATATCTATAATCTGTAGTAATATCATCTCATTTCTGATCATTTGTTTCTGTTCACTTTTATTGCTGACCAGCCTGACTAGACAGTTATCACTTTAATTGATCAGTCAAAACTTTATATCTTGGGCCTTGTATTGGTTTTTTAAGATAGGTGTCATTCCAGTCTCTTATTTCATTTTGGTTGGAAGCAAAAGTTCTCTTCACTAATTTTAATATTAAATAAAAGCTTTTCAAAATGTTTTATAGTGCCTTTATAAATGTCAGTGTTATCTTTCATATTTTCAAATGAAAAAAGTATACCAGCAAACGTACGCATAGTCATAATTAATATTGAGAGAATTTAAATTATCTCTTTAAAAATTGAAGGCCCGGGTCCTCTTTAAACCCATAACACCCAGCCTGAGGGCCTGCTTCAGTCAGTGCTCCTTTCCTGACTTCCTTTATAAAGTCAACTGTTCATCAAACTAAAGTAACTCAGTAACAAATTTAACAATATAAGGGTTTTTTTTATTGTTAAAACTTAAACTTAGAAGCCCCACACTTAGGGAATGGAAGCCTTATAGTCATTGTGGGTTTCATGGTGCTCATAAGCAGATACCTACTTTGAATGAGAAGTGCATCCCATCGATAGCATTCTGCTCTCTTCTTGTCTGTCTAGCCTTCAACAAAAGAAAGAGACTCTAGGCACCTGAAATATTGCTTACTCCCTTATCCTCTTCGTATGTTCACCAACTTACTGACACCAACTTACTATCACCAACTTAAAGGTCTTCTCTAAGCACAGTAACTGGAGAAACAGCTGAGGCCTAGTTATAAGCTTTTGGCTAATTACTTGTCTGTTCATTTTACTAACTTGGTATTTATGTTTTTAGGAACATAGCTACAGTGTAATGGACAGTCCAAAGAAACTTAAGTATAAATTAGATCATGTGATCAGCGAGCTAGAGGATACCAAGAAAAGTCTGCGGAATGTTTTAGACCGAGAAAAACGTTTCCAAAAATCATTGGGGAAGACAATCAGGGAATTAAAGGAGGAATGTCTCATCAACCAAGAAACAGCAAATAGATTGGAAGCTTTTTGTTGGGAATATTGTCAGGAGAGCATAGAATGAGACTGTATTTCATGAAATAATTTCACGTTATGTTTAACTTAAAATTTTTTTAAAGTAATTCTTATTTACCATCATTAAATACTGCCTATCATTTAGAGTGCTTCTTTGGATCCTCTTCAGCATTAAGCATTATAGTTGTTATCCAAAGACAGTTTTTGAAGACATGCAGAAATTTGTGTTAGTTCTCATGTTTTGGTGTGACTTGTGACAATTACGTTTTTATATACCTAGACTAGTGCCAGGTCGTTATAAGTTAAAAGATCAAGAAAATTCCTCTGGACTAAGGAAATGATATCAAATCAGCCATGTTAAGCTATGGTAGTAGGAACTGAGCACTTCTTCAGCAGCAGTAGATTTTTCACTTCAAAGGAATACTTTTATTGTTTACATAGGTACTCTTTATGGTAAATATGTTCAATTACACTTTAAATGTATCTTACTATAAAGCAGAATTTATAACACATGTCAATCTTGGATCCATTCCAAGGTGCTTTTGTTATCAATAATACCAAAAGATCTTTTTACAAGACATCTCATGGTACTGACCCTGAGAACAGCATATGGTACAGAACTTTAGGCTTTTAAAGTTGTCCAGAGACAAGTTAAGAAGACCCCTAGACAAGGTCTCAGTTTTCAATACAGTACATTGTTCTTCCTCACTATGAGTAATTTGATGTAAACCTGTGTAGCTTTAAAAATTTCAGAAGGGGTCATAAATCTGATTTTTCTAATAGCTAGTTACTCTGACAGTTCTGAACATTCTTTTTTTTTTTACTGGAATTTCATCATATGCTATAGTAGTTAGAATTTAAGTGTCAATTATTTCAGTGTGTTAACTAGAAATGAACTGCATTTTATGCTAAAATGTTCATTATAATTTTATTTGTGATATATTAATATCAATAAGGATATGGTCACTTGAATTTTTTTATATTTAAGAATTCTCTGTTTTAATGCATGTTATATTTTTATATAGGATTCTAAACCTTCCCTCTGAATGGGATTTTACCCACATTTGATGGATCAGCATTATGCTAAGAAATCACTGAGGTCACATATTTTTGCTACCTTAAAAAAAAAACTCATTAGTTACCCATTATTTATTTTAGTTATTTAATTTTGAATTCATAATGGACATTTCATTGGGAAGTTTGAGTATGACCTTAGGTTTTATAGTGATTCTGTGACAGATACGGAGATTTTTTTCCCTCACCCTATTTTTTAATGTAAAAATTAAAGTCAGTGGACAGTGGAGAAAAGTAAAAGGATAGATCCAAAGCAGTGTGTTCAAATTCTAGCTCTCTGCAGGCTGCTTAGAATAAATCAAGCCCGGGAGACCTTCACAAAAGTCAAGTCCCAGCTTCTGCCACTATCAGTTACCCGTCACTTTTACTACTTGTGTTCTTTTTCATTGGTCTTCGTATCACTGAGCGAGAGATAACTGTGGGAAAATATTCCTATCATCAATGACTTGGCGCTACCTATTTCCTCTTTATTTTTATGGAGAAGTGATTACCAATAGAAATATGACATAAACAAGGCCTTCCCCACCTGCCACCCCAAACAAATACCTGAATACAGTATATACCTCAGTTCACGGTTCCCAGAAAACAGTTCTTAGCCTGGGGAAGAGCTGTTCTATGCAGAGCAAAACCAGTCATCCCCCATCCAGAGGTTCCTCCAGTAACCAAGGCCAGCCTAAGGGTTTCACTTTGTTTTAAGGCTTGGAGTGGCCTCTGGATTCTAGAACAAACCAATACACAAGTTCAACCTCAGCACCAAATCAGGTATGAAGGACTTGACATGGCGTTTTTCTCATATAAAGTTTAAGTTTTTAGACTTTGGTTGCTAAAGTTAATCATAATTATAACGTAGTCTTTAATTGGAGAAAAGATGAACTGTATTAAAATATGTATGCTTAGTTTTAATAATAAAAGGATAAAATTGTTACAGAAATAACTGGGGGTGAAGAATCTGTTATATATTTGAAAAAGAAAATATTTTCTTTAGTAATGTTCTCTATGTGGTTTTTGTACATTTAGTTATTCAATAAAATGAACCAAAAAAATCCAAGAGTTTGCCTTAATTTTTTCCACATTTTCCTCAATAATTCTAAAATCATAGAGTTTACTAGGTTAGGTGACCAAGTGGCAGGCCTGCTTCTACTACAATTTGGACCTGCCATAGACCCCTTTCCTGCTCTGGGCCTCACTCAAAACTGGCAGCCTTTCATGTCACCCAGTGTAGAGCAGAGAGCAGTATTCATAGGTGTGAAATATGCTGCCTTCAGAACCAAAGAGGCCTGTTAAGCACTGTGCTGCCACCTTCATAGTGAGATGCAATGCACTAATGTGGCTTGTACTTCAGTGGGATGTCCTAGCATGCCCCTGGTCACTGGACACCCCTCCCCCAAATTTTACTGATGCAGCTCCTAATGCCTTTCTCCTCACTGTGCACTGCTCTATTGGATGGCACGCATGCTCAGTAGATTTCATACCACAACATTTGAAAATTTAAGTGTTGAGTCTCATTGTCTCATTTATTTAATATTTATCTTAGGCATATAAGTTTACAGACTAATATAATTAATGTGCTAACCTATTACGTGTAATACTTTCAAAGCCCCATACACTATTGTGTGGGATACAAAGATGATGAGGCATTCATAACCACAGGGATATATAAGTATGTAACACAAATACAGAGAAGTGGGCAATTATCAGGACTGTGTCAATTAGAGAAGGCAGACTATGAAACTAACCGAGCCTCAAAGTTCCAAATAGGAACATTAGTGTGCAGTGTGCATTTTTAAAGTTCTATCCTGGGTCCTGGATTCTGTTAGCTCCCTCCTTGGATGTGACAATAAAAGAACAAACTACCCAGAGACCTAGGTTCCGATCTCAAATCTTCCACTTAATTAAATACAGTCTGCCCTCTCGCAATCCAGGACCTCTTGAGGGATGTCGGAATGCTGGTTTCAGCCCCATCCCTGCAGGCTGTCCGACATCCCCTGAAGGATGTAGTAGTGCATGAAGTGGCAGGCGGCCGAGGAGGAGCCCAAGCCCAGGCCAGGCACCACACCTCTCCTGCCCATCCCAGCCCCGCTACACCTGCCGGCGCCCCTTACTGCTCTGTCGCGGAGGCAGGAGAGGCTCTCTCCGCCACAGCTGCACTCACCAGCTGTGAGCCTGACATCTGGCACCCGTGGGCTAGCTCAGTGGCACTCCCACTGCAGCTCCTGCACTGACCATCTGCCCCCTGGTGGTCAGTGTTCGTCATAGTGACCAGTTGATCAGTCAACTGGTCATTTGGTCGCTTAGGCTTTTATATATATAGATGAGACCTGGGTCAAGTTAACTGAACCTCTGAGCATTTACAAAGTGGACAATAACACTTCCTCACCCACTTGTGAGAATTGTATTTAATTGTGTGTAAAACATAAACCATACAATGAGCCTTCCATATAATGCTTTACTTTCTTTAAATCCCATGCCAGAGTTAACAGGAAGAAGGGCAAAAAGTAAGATGGGGAAATGAGTTAGATAGGGAATGACAGTAGCCCAGTAGGCTATTTGGGCCTTAAATAACCATCTCTCCTTATGGCAGCTCAAAAGCAGGGAAGGAACATTCCCCCACTGAAAGAGAATATTTTATTCACCATCCTTCTCTGCATTCTGCCACCTCCACCCTGAAAAGCCATTTTCTAGTAATCCATTGTAGGTACATCTTTCTTTCATTTATTCAACTTCATAAAGCACCTTAGATGGTGCTACTCAAATGTGGTTCACAAACAAGTGTACACGTTAAAGAGCTTGCACCAGAATGCAAATCAACTATATCTCAAAGCACTGTTTAGCTCAGTCGACATTTTTTTCACAGCAAGACTTTCTCGGTGAATGAAATAGTGTGCTGATTTACATTCTAGAACAAACACCTTATTTCATTCTATACCAGTAAAAAAGAGTTCACAGAGTAGCGATTTTTAATAGCACTATCTCAGAGTATCTAGTCACTAAATAGTCAATCTTTGAATTAACCTTAGCTTATTGGTTTGTGGTGGGTTGACAGTAGAAGAGGTCCCGACAGATCTGTGTCAGATAACAAACTTTCCAAATGCTTGTGGTAGAGCTTGTGCAGTTGAAAGATAACATCACATCAGACTCAACAGATCTGGGCCTCATGCTTTTGAAAACAAGTGTTTTATTAAACAGAGATAGTGAAGGGTACAGGCTGTGCCGAATGCTAACCACAAATACTGGTGATGAGCACCTTGTGGAGACAGGCATCCCACTGCAGACTTGCCAGCAACCTGTACTCAACATACAATTTAACCAAAAACGGAGGGGACTGGTGTTTATGAAAGAGATTTTGTAATGGTACAAAATGTTGCCAGGCTACACAGCTGAAGGCGATTACCTCTGCAATCCTGAAGATTTCAAGAAATGTTTTGGTTGCCACTCTCATTATGACACTTGTAGATGACTCTTAAGTAGGGAATGTCTTACTGAGATGGACATTTCACCTTTTTTGTGGCCATCACCATTATCTGGCCAATTTTTGTTGAAAAGATAGGAAATGCTTTCAACCAGCAATAAAATGTGGCTATCCAAAAAAATCAAACAAGGCCCACAGGGACTAGAAACTTTTAGAGTGGAATGAAAATGTATTCTGTAATTTAAATCTAAATCCAGTTTTGGCAAGTTATTTTTAAATGTACTTTATGGCACAGAAACTGCATGTGCCCAAAGAGGGCTATGGGAGGATTGTTTGTAAGAGCAGAAAATGGAAAGCAACCCAAATTCCAACAAGCGGTGAATGGATAAATAAAACTATGGTGCACCCATATAATGCTGTAATAAGCAGCAATTCAAAAGAAAGAGATGGATCTATATGTATTGGAATGGAGAGAAAAGACATTTTAAGTGAGAAGAAATAATGTAGGCAGCAACTCAAAATATCCTGTTTATATAAAATAATTTTAAATCTACCTACAAAACAATTTCTAATTGCATCTGTGTGTAAATATACAGAAAAGGGAATTGAAGGATCTGCCAACTGCTAAAAGTGCTTCTGAGAAGAGGAACGTATAGTTCTTGTGGCAAAGACAGAGAGAGGAAAGGGGAAGGGAAAACATCCAGGCAGGGAGGGAGGGAAAGAAAAGAAAGGAAGTTATAATAACAGCGTTCTATGTATTTAAATAAAAATATTTCATTTCTTAAAAACTAGTGGTTGATTGTTATCATTACCCTCATCATCTCCTTGAGACATGGACTAAACTTGGATCCAGGTCTTGAATTGCTACTATTTCCCATGAAACTTGGATATTTTAAAGAACTCTCTCACACCCGTCAGCTTAGCAATTGAGATTTACAGAAACCACTGTCTGTGTAGGTATGGTTACAGATTTTAGTTATCTGTGACTAGCCACCAAGCAGAACCCTAAAAAATAAAATTTTAAAAAAGCACATGCTTTCATCCCCTGCTGAGAACCTTTCAATCCAGCTTTCCAATGGACTCAGTACCTCAGAAAACTAAGAACCATGACTTCAGAGTACTGATATCTGAGAAGTGTGGCACACTCTCATAGCTTTTCACAATTCATAAATCCTCATATTTCTGACTTTATTTCAGATACCCAGGTTCTAGAGGAATGTTTATCTGAGGCAGAAAATTATTAATTTTCAATAATAATGACAGCTAACATTTACAAAGTGCCCATCTCTATTCCAGGTGCTTAAATGTTAACTCACGACAATCCTATAAGGTAGGTACTATTATTACTCTCATTTTACAGGAGAGGAAATTAAACAGAAATGTTAGGTGACTTGCCCAAGTACAATGATAAATATTCTCATCCTTATACAAGGAGACACGTTGTCGTCATCCCTGATCTACAATGCCAGACCCGGAGGTTTTGACTCACTAAATGTTGAATTGCTATTGAGCATACACAGCATCTAAGGCTAGACTTCTAGCATTCCATTCAGAAGCTCTAGCTGGGGCAGTTACAGGTCGAAGGATAAAATGTGAACTCATCCTGTGTCTGAAGCTGGGGAGAGCCCACAGTTACTCATGACCACAATCTGAATCTGTCTGATGCTACCACCAAGCATACATAGGGCAGCGGGGCACTCAGGTGACGTCACCTTACCACATACACCGGCAAGACGTTCTCAAGTATCCATGGGTTTCACCTGCACAGGAGTTTGTCTAGTCACCTGGTTCCTCTCAGCTCTCAGAAAGAATGCATGGAATAATAAAAATCTAATCTCTGTTAATGCTTTACCCAACCACTAGAACTGACATAAGTTCCCACTCTGTGTCTACATCTATAGTAGTTTCTAATCCAGTACAGGAATATAAAAGTTAATAGCTCTTCTTTTCCGCTTAGCAAGCTACACTAGGCTTAAATTAGAATCTTCATTCCCTGTGTGATTTGCTACTATTAGACTGTGATGGTAATATTTCAGAATCTGTTTTAGCAAGCCACATGCAGTGCACTGTATATGACATCAGGTACAGCCAGATCCAGGGGTTCAAATAATGTTAGAATCTGATACTTCTCCACTCTGCTTGATCATGTAGGCTCCCCTTCATGTAGGTATGGCCCTTCACAACTTCAAGTCCAAAGGCAATTGTGTGCCTCTTTTCCAGTCATTCATGCAACGGCCCAGGACTAGTTTTGACTGGGCCTGTTGACTTGGCTTGAGTCAAATGCCCATCCCTAAACATATCACTACGATCATAGGACTGCTATGCTGATTGGCAGGTGTAGGCTACAGGCAATCCTGGAGACAGGAGAGTACAGAAATGATGTTTCCACAGAGGGAACTCAGAGCTAGGTAATCAGAAGAATTGGGATGGATCCTGGGCTAGGTAAACAAAAATCAATGGCACTGGAACTCAGTGGTGGGGACACAGCACCTGAGTAAAGATTCCGTATTAGTAAATTTGTTCCTGTACATTGGTCCACCAGGGTAAAGAGGAACAGTGTAGGAGTATTTTGGTCCTTATTATGATTGTGGTAGAGAAAGCTGCCTTTAAATGCAGTATTT